CCCGCCCCCCCCCCCCCGGCCGCCGCCCCGCCGCCCTCTCCCACACCGGCCGACCGGCCCGGGAGCGCGGGAAGGCCGTCCAGGCGGCCCGGGAGAGCACGACGGCCGCCCCGTCCGCGCGGCCCGACCCGTCTCTCCCGCCCCGCCCCTCCCGGGACCGTCCTCCCCCGGGCCTTCCCATACCGGCGTCGGGGCCCCGATTTCTCAGCGGAGACTGGCCTTGGTGGCACAGGGCGCGCCGGAGACATGCCGGGCCAGCCTCGCAGGACGGCCTCGGGCTGGGACGGACGGAAGGTGGCGGCCCCGCAGCCCGCTCGGGATTACCTGTCCGCGCCGGCCGCTGCCCTCGCGGGCTCCCTTGTGAAGCTCGGGCGTCCTGTGTGTTTCATCTCCTAGGAAACGGCTGGGGCACCCGCGCCCCGCAGCTCGTCCACTCACGCCCCGCCCGGGGAGGGCGTGGCCTGGCCGGGAAGGCCCCGCCTCCCCAGAGGGCGGGGCTTCAGGGAACACCCGGCGTGTCTCTAGAGCCGCGACAGCGCTGCACTTGGGATGTGGGGCCTGGGAGAGTTGCTTCTCCTTCCAGTCGGTTCTTTCTCGGAATTGTTTGCCTTTTTCTTTGGCTTTGCTCCCATTCAAAGCTTGATAAACGAAATCTGATTCTCACACTGGTCAGAGCAAGAGAAGTGCGTGGTTTGCCTACTACTTCGACTTGTTTGCTTATATGCTGCCCGGAAAAAGAAAAAGAACCAAAAAAAACTGCCCTTGTTTTGTAGTTCCTTACATCGATCAATTCCTCAGGTATGTATTATCGCCTTGGCTGCACTTCTCAATTGGTTTTAATTTATTCATTCAGAGAACATACTCAGTACAAGTCACAGGGTTAGATAGTGGTAATTCCAAGAAATATGGATGAATGTGTGAATACGTGAGTAAACAGTAACTCACCTAGAGTTGTGAGAGGAGGACACATTTGTGTTAGTGCAAAAAGTCCAGATTGGCTGACAAAAAGGGTCCATGAAACATAAGAGATGAGGCAGTAGTGTATCCATTTGTAATTATCTATTCGGTGTCAGGCTGTGGGCTTGGCACTGAGAGCAGTGCCAAGGTAGACAAGTCAGACATGCTTGTGGACTTCTCGTAGCTTAAAGCAAACGAGGCAGGCAAAGTAAAAAAAGCATAAGTTAGGTCATAGAGGTCTTATATGCCCTGTCAGGAGGCCTATGCCTTAACATATGTCAATGGGGAAGACCAGTTAAGAATTGCTCACAGAGAAGTGGCATATTCAAATTTGCATTTTAGAAAGATCCCCAAAGCAGCAGTGGGCCAGAGTGATTTTGCAGTGAGTCTAGAGGAAAGAGAAAGAAAAGAAGGCTATTGCCAAAACAATGAGGATTCAACTATAGCAGTAATGATGGAAGTAGGACAGAGGGAGACAGAATTAAAGGGATATTTAGGAGTTAGAATTGACAGGACAATCAGGTTTAGATGGCCGGTGGATACTGGTGTCCGTTACAAATTTGGGAAATATTGAAAGAGGAGCTCATTTGGGAATGAAGAGTGAGAAAGATGATACACCCAGTTTTGAAAATATTGAGTTTAAGGAAAATTCAAATGGAGATTACAAGAAGGCAGTTTGAAACACAGCTTTGTAACTTAGGGTTCTGTCAGAGGTGGAAATACAGATTGATTGGGATCATATGGATGAAGTCATGGATATGGATTAAATGAACTGTAAGAAGAAAAGGGGGCTGGGATTTTAAAAAATACTGAGCTGGGCTTGGTGGCTCAGCCTGTCATCCCAGCACATTGGGAGGCCAAGGTGAGTGGATTGCCTGAGCCCGCGGGTTTGAGACCAGCCTGGGCAACTTGGCGAGACCTCGTCTCTACAATGCATCAAAAATTAGCCAGGCATGATAGTGAGCGCCTATTGTTCTGGCTAATTGGAAGACCGAGGTGGAAGGATCAATGGAGCCCAGCAGGTCAACACCGGGGTGGCCATGAGTGCCACTGCACACCAGCCTGGGTGTCAGAGTGAGACTCCAACTAAAAAAAAAAAAAAATTCTGTATTCTAAAGTGTGGAGAAAGAAGAGTGGAAGTGAGGGAGAGAAAGACTGGAAAATTAAGGGAAATAGCAGGAGATCCCTGAAAATATGGTATTTCAGGAAGAAAAAAAAGTAGGCTTTCTACAAGAGAGATGACAAACACATGGAAAAGGGGAAGAAAATAAAAAAAGGACAGATAACAGAGTTTATCATCTAAAGAGCCCTGCCCTTCTGCTTCAAACAACTAGATCATGCGTAAAGCATACTTTTTTTTTTTAATCACATTGTTGCAATAAAAAGAACCAACTGTGCTGCCCATTGAAAGTGGACTAGAATAAAAAATGTCATACATATACACATATACACAATGGAATATTGTGCAGATATAAAGGACAAAATTATGAACTTTGCAGCAACTTGGATGGATTTAGAATCCATCATACTCAGTGATCTATCACAGAAACAAAGAATGAGTACCACATGTTGTCACTTATAAATGGACCCTAAACATTTATCATAATACTACATAAAAGGGATTGGCAGTAGCGGGTCACTGCCAGGGTAGGGGGCACATAACACTAATAAGGATAACTGATCCCAAACCAGGTGAAGTGAGGACCAATAGGAGGCCCAAACTTTATCTGTACAATGACCACTTATGTAACTAACCCTGATTTGTACCCCCACATCATTAAAATAAAAAAAGTGGAAATTCTCCAAGCGCTCCCAACTTTTCTAAAAGGTACCTGATACCTTAGAGCAGAAGCAATCAACATGCCTGAAAGGCAATGACTCAGAGGCAAACCCCATTTCAGCATAGCAACTAGCAGACTAAGTCTTGGACCAGTGGCAATGGGGCTGAGCTGAACCAGGGACTAGAAAATTAACCAGAGGCCTTGAGAAGGGGCCAAATGGTCCCAGTTTGATATTGCCATCTGAGTTCCAGAAGAAACAAACACAAATCATCTCGATTTAGGCCTCCAGGTTTCTCACAAAATATGAGCTGATGACCACGGAAGCTGAATCCCTTAAGTGAGATCTGCACAATATATTTAGACTTCCAAAGGTTTCAGAAATTGGAGATATCAGCTTGAATATTAAATAGCTGTGTATTAGCCGGGCTCGGTGGCTCAGCCTGTAATCCCGCGCCTTTGGGAGGCTGAGGTGAGTGGATTGCCTGAGCTCG